TAGTTTCAACCCTGACCTGACTTCCCGCTGCACTCAGCAGAGACAAATCCTCCTAGGGTGCGGGTCTGCTTCCCCCATGGTGTCCGGCCAGGGCTGGCGTGTAGTGGGTGCTCAATAAATGGGATCGGATAGCCTGGTTGCTATGATCGGTGCTCTTTGGTCTCCACTATTAGGAGAGGAAAGACGTTCACCGGTCCATCATCACAGCTACTGCCAGTCATGGCTGGGAGAACAATCGGAAGGAGAAAGGGAAAAATCCCAGTGGGATGGGTCAGACTTGTCCCTCAGTTTCCCTATCTGTGGGTTATCAACTTCGTAGAATGGGCATAAGTTACGGTGATGTACACTGGACACTCAGTGCCTAGGAGGTCCTCAAAATTCAGTAAAGCACCCATAATTATTACGTATATTATTAATGTAGCAGGATATATAGTAAAATAGAGCATTCTACCAGCTGGCACCAGAATTCCTTTTAAAGAATAACCGCATTTTAAAAAAAACACTTAGAGTTGCAAGGTTAGGCTCTGAGATAATGGGGTGGAGAGGTACAAATAAATAAAATAAGAGAGGGGCTGTATATTTTAAGAGCAAAGTAAAATGCTCTATTAAGAAAGTGACCAGGTATTTGGGGACGGGGGGAGGTCTAGAAAAAAGGGAAGAGGGGGAGAGTAAAGAGGGGGCAGAGACGAGGGTTCGGGGATTGGCTGAGCCCAAAGCTGTGAAAATTCATGGAATGGTTTCAGCACAGAGATGTCCGAGAGCAAAGGATACAGTGCACACCTCTGCTGTGAATCCCCTCTGCTACCCGCATCCTCAGAGCAACCCTTCTCCACCCTGAGGGCTTCATGGCAGAGGTGTGTGTGCATCGGAAAACAGAGGTTTAAGTTCCAGGTCTGAATCGAGGTGACACGGAACTGGAACAATGATCTCTAAACCTGTCGTGGGGCCTGAAGAGCTAATCGCTGTCTGTCTACAAGCCCATTCTCCAGGCCCCCAACCCTGGAGAGACTGCAGGGGGACCTGAGGCCTCCTTTGAGGGATTTTCACCTGAACCCCCAAGGACAGACTCTTAGGTGGTGAGGATTAAATTAATGAAAAGGTGTTATTTGTTTTGGCACCATAAAGGACTTCTGGATCTACGTGCCTGGAGGCAAGGCACGTCCCATGGCCTCTCCCTATTGGCCCAGAACCCACCAAGGGATGGGGGGGTAGGGAGCGTGGTCTCCATGGAAACTACAGACTCTGCGCCTGCTCCCTGGAGCCCTGTCTTTCCTCACCTGCCAGGGATAGACCACCTCCTTGGAGCAGTTGGTCCGGCTGCAGCCCAGGAGGCTGTGCAGTGCGTGGGCGACGGCGTAGACAGCCGAGTACACATTGTACACCATGAACTCGCCCGGGAACGTGAGGAGGGTGTTGAAAGACATGGTGGTGTCCAGGCAGGTGTCACACTCCTGGTTGCAGGTGGCCTTCACTCCGGTCGTGTTGGACGCAGGCTTTCCGGCCTGGGCGCGGCGCAGGCGGAACTCATCGAAGCCAGGGATGAGCACGCTCTGGGTGGTGATGCCCAGGAAGGTGCCCGTGCGGCGCAGCTCGGTGAGGTTGTGCAGGACTGGGTCGATGGCCCAGGACTCGGAGGCGATCCACACGACGCCGGAGAAGTTCCGGCGCAGCACCTCGCCGAAGAAGTTGTGCAGGGCCAGGTCTGGGGAGAAGAGCACCACCACACGGGCGGAGCTCTGCTGCAGCTTGTCCACGATGGTCTCCAAGTGCTCGCGCTCCTGGGGCGTCACCACCTGGTTGGGCTGCGGTGTGGGCAGCGCTTCTTGGAAGGCGATGCAGATGTCGCTGCCGGCCAGGCGCTCGTTGAGTATCTGGCTGTTGTCGCGGCCGTAGTTGTCGCTGCTCACCAGCACGATGATCCAGTTCCAGTGAAAATGCAGCATCAGCTGCACCATGGCCTCGATCTGGTGACTGGCGCCTGACACGGTGCGCAGCACTGCGGGGAAGCGCAGCTTGTCGCGCAGCTCGTCGGTGATAGCGGCGTAGGTGATCTGAAGGAGGCGAGGGAGGGACCGCAGGTGTCCGGACCCACCCGACCACCTCACTGAAAAGTGCAGCCCCCCTTACCCCGCTCTAGCTGTCCATGACATGCGCCGCCCCACTTCTTCTGCTCCATTTTTTTCTTTATCCTTTGCACTCTGACTCGCTGACATCATAAAGCGCTTATTTACTTAATTTCGCTCTCCCCACCAGCAGATAAGCTCTATGAGTGCAGCGACATCTGTTTGTTCCCAGCTGCAGCCCCAGCACCTACAACAGGTACCTGGCATAGCAGATGCTCAATAAATATTTGTTAAATGAAAGAATGAATTCGATCTTGGACTAGATGTTTCGCATAAGAATGCAAGCATTTACTGAGCACCTACTATGTGTCAGATCCTGTGCTCGATGCTTTACATAATAAAAACAACAAAAACTACAGAATTTGTCACTACCTACTATGTAACAAGGCCAGTGCTAGCTACTCTTTAGTAGATAGATATTTTATGCCAGTTCTGGACTAGGCACTTTCGATCATGATGATAATAGTGATCATTATAGTAATGCTAATAACACTTTTTTGAGGATCTACTATGTGGCAGGCCCTGTGCTAGGCAACTACACTGGATAATATTGAGCACTTTCTGAGTTTTCGTTATCATGCAAGATGCTTTACATAACAACAGTAACATTATTGACTACCTACCATGTGCTAGAAATTCTTACATAGGCTAAGATTGAATCTTCAGACAGTCCAGGGATAGAACTCTTGTCATCTCATGTTACGCTGAGGCTCGAAAGAGTTAAGAGATTTGCTCAAAGTCTCACAATGGCCAAGACTCAGAGCCAAGGTTCGCACCCAAGTCTGTCTGCCCCCAAAGTCTGAGCTCTCAACCAATAAGCCAGGCTGCCTTTCCAGATTGGGGGTGACATGCTGACCCTGCTTCTGCCCCCAGCCTACCACCACCCTCCATGACTGGTGGGGGGAAGTAAGCCATCTGGACAGCTACACCTCTGACCACCCTCCCTAGCCAACTCTCCCAGGGGTCAGGGGCCTCACCTGTGGAAGGAGAAAAAGGGAGAGGAAGTTGGCCACAGTCATGGCGGACTCAGAGCTGTCAGGGCCAATGACAGCCACCACGCGGGGCCTGTAGTGACTGTAGTCCTCCTGGATGGGCAGGAAATCATCCTCCTGGGCCAGGAAGTAGAGCACAGGCTGGACATTGTTGGAGATGTAGCAGATGTCCACCAGCTCGTAGCCCAGCAGCACGCCGGGCAGCAGGCTGCTGTGGTTGTTGATCTCCTCCACCGCAAAGCGCATGGCCTGCATGAGGTTGTAGCCCAGCACCTTCGTCTCATACCTGGGAGGGCGGCAATGGAGTGGGGTGGGAAGCAGGTCCAGGATGAGGAGGGGCGGGGAGTGGGGAGCCAGCCTATCTCTCCTACCTGCCACAGGAAAGCCAAGGCATTGCCCAAGAAGGAGCCACTCCAGCAGACTTTGGCATTTTTACCACATCATCATCACTGTACCACATCTCTAGGATCACCATCGTCCCTATGACCACCTCTGACACTGTGATCTCTGTGGCTACTGTTAATCCTATGACCACCTCTGACACTGTGATCTCTGTGGCTATTGTTAATCACTACCACCACCACCACACCAGCACCACCACCATCCTCTTCACTATTTTTATGCCACCACCACCATCACCACCACCACCACCACCATCCTCTTCACTATTTTTACGATCACCAGCATCACTGCCATCATCATTATTAACACCACCACCAGCCCTTCATTGGACGCCCTGCCATTATCGTTAGGTGTGAGAACATCCAACGGGATGCTCAGTACCGTCAGCGGTACCATCGCCCTCCCCGCTCTCAAGCCAGCACGGAATATTCCGCATCACATAAATGGTAGGTTTCTTATAGCCAGCCCTTAACCACCTTTTGCGCTCTCCCTCCCTTCTCCTTCTCTCCCAGAATGCCTTTAACCTCCCTGCACAAGGTCCCTTTTTCATAATCACAGGCTGGCTCCGGTGTCTGGCCTTCATCCTTGCATGAAGTCGGTCTGCCCGATCTCCGAGTAATGCTGCCACCCCAAGGGGCTCACGAGGGAAGAGGCGCAGAGAAAATACCCTCCGGTCTTGGAGGCACCCCTGCCCACCCCACCATAGCCCTGGGAAAATGCAAACCTTCACTTCCAGTCTGAGAACCTGCTACAGAAGAACCACATTCTGCCTTCTGAAGTCATGACACCCGGTTTCTGGACTCTGCCGGGACACAGACTCACTGGGAGTCCCCCAGTTGCCAGAGAGGGTAGGTGTGGTTTTGAAGGTCTCTAAGACATGGTCTGATGGTCTCAAGCATCCTGTAGCTCTTTATAATCAGAGACATAGCATTGGGAAAACTCAGATCTCAGTGTTTCAGAATAGGATCGCCAAAGATTTCAATAACACAGACTGTGCAGGGCCAGTGAGGTAGATCCAGGGCAGAGGTTGGCAATGGATGAGGAAGAGCATTCGGAGCTTTGGGTCTTGGCCTAGACTCCCGAGGACCACAGGACCAGCCCTGGCTCCCACCTCCCCCCACGGCCACTTCCAGCCTCCCACCGGAGACTCACTCCTTGCACTTGGGCACCTGCAGGAAGTCGAGGTGAACGATGCCCTTCACATTGGCGTGGAGGGTGAAGAGGCCACCCAGGAGGTAATCCCCAGCCAGGTGGAATTCCGAGCTCTCGGCCGGCTCACCCAGAACCTGCATCAGGAAGAGCAGGGAGCAGACTGCCCTGGCTTGGGGTCCCATGGCTGGGAAGTAGGGATCCCAGGAGGTGGCTCTGCTTCTCCAGAGCACTAGCTGCTTGATACCAGGGGATTTGCACAGACATTTACATAGTGACAACCCTGCCACTGTCTATGGGGCGGGGAAAGGACTTGGGACAGGTGGAGGGCTCTGGGGAAGGGCAGGAGGCTAAAGTGAGGATGATCCCTTCTTAGGGCACAGTGGGGCCGGGGTGGTCTGGAAGAACCCTATGTGGAGGTAGAGAGAGCACGTCCTGCTAACTTGGTCCTGGCTTTCTTCCTCATGGTTAAGGACAGGTTATATCCCCCTGACATTTCAAACATTTGGGAGTAAAGGACATAGGTGTTCGCATCAGTAGACAGGGTAGGGTGACAAATGGAGCCTAAGCTTTAGATCCTGACCAAATGGTCTGTCATATGGTAATTATAATGGCATCTGGCCCATGGCAGGTGTCCCCAAAGTAGTAATCATTGTCAACGAGAACCAGGCACCATGCTGAGTGCTTGTCATTCTCCATCTTGCTTAATGCTCATGATAACTGGGACTATTACTAACCCTGTTAGTAACAGATGAGGAAACCGAGGCACAGAGAAGTTAAGACTCACCCTGGTTTGCACAATCCGGAGAGCTAGGATTCAAAGCAAACATCCAGACTCCAGGGTGCAGCGCTTCACCTCCACACTGTGTTCCATCACAAGGTTATTGCTTTTGCTAAAAGCAGCACAGAGAATGGGAGGTGGGTGTGAGGGGAGGGGGGCTTCACCCCCTCTGACAGCTGCCATCATCAGCCCAACAATCCGTCACTCGGCTCCACAGAGTTAACCCCCTCTGGGTGGGCCCCCTGGGACCAGGACTGAGGGGCAAGGGTCCCCGCAAAAAGGAAAGTTGAATGTCAACTGTCATTGAAAAATAAAATTCTTTTTAAAAAGGGAAGTTGAAGATTCCTAAAACCAAAGGCGACTACCCCCAAAAAGTCAGATGGAGAGAGGCCTCATAGTGCTGTTTGAGTCCTTTCCAGACCTAACCGTATGTGGCTCTGCAGGAGCCTGAGGGGACCTGCTTTTTCATGCACAGATCAGACAGGTCTGTCACAGGGCTGTCAGCTGCTGCTGGGTTGTGGGGGTGGGGTGGGGAGGGAGGCCTCAAGGTACAGAAAGGTCAGTGCTCTCTTTCAAGTGCTGGAGCCTGGCCTCCTCCAAGACACCATCCCTGGCTCTAATTTACAGGAGCCACCCTGCTCCGAGCTGCAACGATCTTCTCATCTGTATTGTCACTGGGCACCTGTTAACAGCCTTACATCATTGACAGGTCCCTGCTGATGCATGTGTCTACACTCCAGGAACCCTGAGGCAACGTGACTCCAGTTGACCTGGGGTGAACATCAGCTCTGTTCGCTGTGTGAGCATGGGCAGGTTACTTAACCTCTCTGAGCCCCTGTTTCCTTCCCTACTGAAATTGGAGTACTTCCAGCCTCGTGGGATCTGTGTTGAGATTAAATAAAATGGCATGTCAGAACTACAGGATACAGAGCAGACCCTGGAGAAAGGGGAACTCGCCAGAGTTGGAGATAGTCCCTTCTCATAAAAACGTGAACTGCCGTGGGGGCCACCGTGAGCTCTGTGCCCAGTTGAAAGCGCCAAAGCTCCTTGAAGTTACCCTGAAAGATGCTGAATGTCTTTAGCAGCTCCAGAGGGAGCATCTCCTCCCTCGCCCATGACCTGTCCTAGGGTAGAGTCATTCCACAGACATTTAGAATGACAGGGAGGGGCCGCTTGGTGCTACAGAAAGACAAAGGATTTATTGTGTGATCTTGGGCCTGTCTCTGCCCCTCTCTGGGCCTAAGTAGACCAGGGGGGAAGGGGGAAACCCGACCCATAAAACTAAAGGCAGAATCCTGCATGGGGTATCTGGAAGTGTGGGTTCTGGGTCTGGCTCTCCCCTCTCCAGGCCTCAGTTTCCTCATCTGTGCAATGGAAGGCCTTCTTGGATGGCCCTTATCTACCCTTTACGTCAGCCAGTCAAAACCCTAAGCATGAATTTGCCCTCTGTCCTACGGGTTCTCTCCAGACGCTGCCACATCCCAAGCCCAGACCCTCCTCACTTCCTGTCTGGACCTCTGTGTCCACGTCAGGCTGACAGTTGAGATCCCTGAAGCTCAGCTCTGCGCCCATCATTCCTCTGCTCTGATGGCTCTGGAACCACCGCCTGCGGGATCATAGCCGAGCTCCTGGCCTTGGAATTCGCGTCCTCCCCACCTGGCCCAGCTCACCCGTCCTCCCCATCCCTGTCTTTCCAGCGCGCCCCTCTCCTGCGTCATGTGCACCAAACTTTGCCACACTGGCCTCCTGGAAACTGGGTCTCTGGAGACTGTTCCCAGGATGGCATTCTAGTCACCTGCCCTGCTAGACACTTAGGGAGTTGTGAGGATAATTACCAAACAGTACCTTTTCCAGGGTGTTATGTACCAGGCACTGTGCCAAGCGCTTTATATACATTATATCATTTAATTCTCACAACCACCCTGCAAAACCACCATTTTTATTCCCATTTTTAAGATGAGAAAACCGAGGCTGAGAGGTTAATGAATTTGTCGAATGTCACACATCTAATAGGTGGTGATGCTGGAATTTAGGCCCAGGCTGCTCAAGCTCTTAACCCCATGCTACCTGACTTTGGTGTGTTCTGCCCGCAGGAGCTGTCATTGCTACCCCTGCCATGCCATGGGGGTGGGGGATGGTGCTGCCCTCCTCAGTGCCGGTTCCACCCCAAGGCCAAGGTGCTGGGGAAGGATCAGTTGCAGCACAATGACTGTACGTGTCAGTTCTGAAGAGGGAGAAAAAACATGCTGATTGCTGAGAGGCCCTGGGATGTTTGCAGGACACCTAGAAGTCAGGTAAAGCTTGGGGGCAAAGGGGTGGAAGAGACAAAAAGCCTCTAAATTAACTGGAGCCCCCTGGGTGTGGCACTAATCCCAGGGTGCAGGAGGGCTGGAGAACAGACTGGCTGAGAAAGCCATTAATCCAGTGGGCACTGGCTGAGCCCAGATCCAGAATGCCACCAGGCTCAGTCCACGAGGTCTGTCCGTAGTCCCTGAGCTGAGATGCCCCAGGCTGGGTGATCTCCACGGTCCCTTCTGGCCACGTAAGAGGGGCATCTGGATGCATATGGGGCACCTACCACCCTCGAAGACAAAGGCTCAGGAACGCTGGGGTCACTGTGATTCTTCGGGGCTGCACACAGAGCACATGCCCTGAGGTGGCCCAGGCCTCACACAATCGTCACTCTCATGGCCCAGTGCAAGGCCCAAGGTCCCCATGTTCACACCTGTGTGACCGCTGATCACCAAGGCAACAAAGAGCTTTGACTGCTGATGCAAAGTACGTGCGTGGGGGCAGCCGTGGAGATGGGGACCCAGAAGCCGCCTTGCAGCACCTCCTCCAGGTGCTCACGGAAGGGAACTGGCTGGAGGTGGCTTTCCTCGACCTCCTTCTTTCTCCTTTCATGGGGAACAGGGCAGCCCCTAAGAGGGGCCTGACCCCGGGTACTGGGGACTGCATCAGCTCCCCACCCCCTGCACCCCATCTCCCCAGTCTCTTTCCTACTAGTACTCCCTCCTCCAGGACAAAATTGGGCAGCTGGAAACCTAGCTCCAGTCTGGTTTAAGGTGAGGCAGGGGCGGGCAAACAGGGCCTTCTCAGGTCTGGGAGATGGGCCGCCCGAGCCAGCCGGCTTGGTTCAGAGACACTGTGGAGGAGGCTTCCTGGGGCAGCCTCAGAGCCAGCTCAGAGGGCCCAGCCTCCTCGGTCACCGCTGTGAGAGGTTAGAAGTCAAAAGTGAAGTGGCCCCTGGGGGCTGTGGATACAAGGCTCAGCTAAGGCCTGAGGAAGAAACGCTGCTGCGGTTGAGACACCCACTTGAGCCCAGAGGTTCACTTAAGCGTCCTCACCAAACTTGGCTCAATGACCTCAAGCAGCCTGTGTCTCAACTAGAAAAAGATCTGGAGGTTCCAAATGACCACAAGCTCAATAAGAGCCAAGAGGGTGACAGTCACTAAAGCCTAAGAAAAGAAACTTCATGGAGCCTCTGCGATGCTTTCAAACATTGCATCTGCTTGGCACAGTCCTGTGAAGGATTTTTATCCTCATTGTACAGATGAGGACGCCAAGGCTCAGGAGCCTAAATGATTTCTATGGAAGGACTAATAGAGATCAGAGGTAGAATGACTAGTCCAAGGTCACGCATGCTCCTCACCACCAGCTCCATCAGGTCCCCGATTCCCAACTGCTTCTCCGCTGCTGTCACTTCACCTGCCCTCCCCCAACCTGGCACCTTCACCTCCATTTAACCAGGGCAGGTGGTGGCTCCAGGCCATTGCTCACACTGTTCCCTCATCCCCCAGACTTGGGGCTGGTGGCTCCAAGTGGGCCCCAGTGCCTGCCCAAGTGCCCAAAGTCTCTTTGCATGGTCACTGAAGTAAGTCACCGTGTCCACAATGGGACAAAGAGCCCCTTCATTTCCCTGCTGTGGCCGGGGGCCCAGCCACAGGTCTGGGCTTGGACAGTGAAATATTTGACTGAGGGCGGATGTCCCTGCCACCACTGTCCCACAGGCTGCCAGTCGGGCATGCACTCTAAGGAAATGAGGGGCCACCTGTGCCGGCTCCTGGCTGCCAGGCTGACTAGGGGCTCCTAGGGGTCCAGAGGAAGTGTCAGGGTGCAGACCCATCCCCTTCGCAATGTCATGTCATTTTCATTAATTTACCCACCATGTGTTCATCCTCACAATTCCTATGTTCTCTGGAGGCCAATGTAGTAAACAGTAAGAGCCACCAGTATTTGAACCCAGGCTGTGTGCCCGGCATCGTGCTCAATGCTTTAGATGTCACATCCTTGGATACTGACTGCAGCCCCGAAGTTACATTCCATCTCTCTCATTTTACAGACAAGGAGACTTTAAGGCACAGATGGTTGAAATAACTAGTACAGCTAAGTGCACCTTACCCAATAAAGTCAATGTCAAGGCTAGATGAGACGAAGTAGGTGAAGCACTTAGCCAGTTATCATTCAACTCTGCTACTATCTGGGTCGTGGAAAGAGAACTTGGCTTTGGAATCAGACAGACCTAGGTTTATGTCCCAGCAATACGATCCCTTTGGCAAGTCCCTTCACCTCTCTGTACCCCAGCTTCGTCTATATATGGGGGCATGGCAGCACCTACTTCATAGGGCTATTGTGAGAGAGAAAACATATGCAAAGTCCTTGGTGCATGTTGTCTCAGGGTTCTCCAGGGAAATAGGATGCACGAAGAGTCAGAGAGAGATTTATTGTAAGAAATGGGCTCATATGATTGCGGTGCTTGGTAAGTCCAAATCCTACCGGTAGGCTGGTGGGCCAGAGACCCAGGAAGAGCTGTGGTCGAGTCCAAAGGCAGTTGGCTGGCAGAATCCCTTCTTCCTCGGGGGAGGTCAGTTCCGTTAGGGCCTTCGACTGATGGGATGAGGCCCACCCACATTACAGAGGGTAATCTACTTTACTCAAGGTCTGCCGATTTAAATGTTAATCTCATCCAAAAACACCTTCATGGAAACATGTGGATATTAACTAAATATCTGGGCACCATGGCTCAACCAAATTGACAAATAAACTTAACTATCACAGCACATAATAGTGGTTGTTATAACAATGGGCAAATGGGTAACACTGTTGAATCATTAATTGTGTCTGGCATTGTTCTGAGCACTTAAGTGAATTAGTTCATTTAATTCTCATGACAATTTTGTGTGTATGAATGTGTATTATTATTATTCCTATCTTAGAGATGAAGAGACAGAAGGTCAGAGAGGTTACACAGCTTCTTGGAGCTGAGATTTGAACCCAGCGCATGTGGCTCTAGAGTTCTCGCCACCTGCAGCAGATATTCCCACGCATCAGTGCCTGACCTTCCCTCCATCACACGGAGGGCACTGTGCTCCCGATACCTAATGACACATAGGCAATGCCATGAGACTCAGAAGCTGACCGGCCCCACCACCCCAACCAGAAAGACCACCAATTTGATTAAGTAACGGACATTTTATTGGGTGACATCAGGGCAAAGCCCATTGCCACCGCACAGTGTAGACTCAGTAGAACCAGGAATATCTCCCACCTCCCCAGCCACCTGACCTGGCCCCTCGTGGGAAACAATGCAGAACCTGGAAGGATTCAGGATTCAGGATGCTTGGTAAGTCCAAATCCTACCGGTAGGCTGGTGGGATCCTACAGGTCTGTCTGGCAAAGCGGAACCCATGCCCTGCCCAGGTGGCATCAGCACCCAGCCTTGACCATGGGCCACGGTGTGAGATCATCGCCCTTGGAGAACGGCCACGCCAATCCCGTGGGGCCCCATGTCAGCCATCCTTGAGGAGGGCCCAGCACTTTTAAGGCCGCCTAAAAACTATTCTCCAAAGTCAGCCCTTATAGATCCCTGGCCACCCAGAATCCAACCTATTTGCCAGTGTCCACCAATTGGCTGTGTCAAAGAAAGGACAGGCCACCTAAGGACCAGGCCACACAGAGCCACTAACATGCAAAGGAGGGAAGATTCTACAGACAATCCTCAGCCCTGGCTGGATGGGAACCCAAGGGTAGGTCTTGGGGGCTGGAGGAAGGTGGGAGCAGCATCTACCTGGATCTGTTCTACCACAGCCAGTGCAAACTGAGCTCCTACAGGCAAACCCCAGGCCAGCACAGGCCCCGAGAGTGCCTGTCTCTGGAGACAGGCCAAGAATGCTAAGGGAAAGATGAAACGGCATGAAGGTCTATCCAAGGATTTCCAAAATCGCAGCCCAAACAGGAAGGACCAGCAGATCCCAGCCAGGATAGAGATGGCCGGGAATCATGTGGGCACGCAGGCACCCTGGAGAAAGGCACATGAGTATCTAAGGCTTAAGGTCGGGCACAGGTACCCACTGGCTCGGGTGGGTCTGGACAAAGAGCTAGTGTGGAAGGTGGGCAGCCCAGACCAAAGAGGCCGAAGCCAGCTGGTGCCCCTGCACTCTGCAGCCACGACTCGCCAGCCCTGTAGGCCACCCTAGGCACACCTATTCCTGGAGACCTGGAGAAGCCAGGGCCAAGGCCAGGAGCCTCTGTGAGTAATGAGGTTTGCCAAGGGGCCCGGAGCTGCCTCTTTTTCCTCCAGGGATCGGGAGCTGCCCCATTGCCATCTCCCAGGTCCCTGAACCATTGGGCCACAGTGTAGAAGAAAAAGGAGAGAAGAACAGACGGAGAACGAGCCGGCACCAAGTCACACACACGAGCCGGAATTTCTGGGACGGCCAATGGGATGAGGGCAGTGGCCTTGTTCCTCTCAGCACGATCTCACACCAGAGCCGGGGCACCTGACTCCAAGGGGTGGGACAGACCAGGATCAGGCCACTGGGAGACAGGCGGTTAGGCCTTAGCTATAGAAAGGGGGCTATCCCATGGGAAGTGGGGTGTAGGGCCTGGGGTGGGCCCACTGTGCTGAGGTCAGTAGCCTGGACGGACAGACAGGTGGACAGCGGAGGCTCCGAGTGGGGCTCACTGCATGTACGAGTAGCGCCAATCCCCCAGAGGTTTGTGGGTCTCCTTGATGACCTGGGGCGACGTCCACCGAAGGACATAGTGGGGTCCCCCTGGCTTGTCATTGGTTCCTGTGGAAAAGACAGTTCTGTTTTTCCTCTGGGAAGATACGACAGCTCTGGGCAGAAGGGAAAAGGGTTGGGGAGGAGCTGACAGAATAAGTGGGGCGCCAGCAGGGGCAGCAAACAGTTAAACTAAATTCGAACACCGTGTTCACGGCGGCCATGGTCTCCTAAGCGCACCTGTGCAGCTCGCACTCGTCTGGAGGTCAGAGGTCAGGTGAGGCAGGCACGAGGAGCGGGCAGGGCACCGACACCCCCAGGGTCTGTGTGCCCAACCTGCAGAGGGTGTCTTGGAGGCAGGGGAGCCCTGGACTGGGAGCTGGCAGCCCTGGTTCCAGCCCTAGCTCTGCCACTAGGCAGGTGGGACTTTGGCAAGTCGCCGCCGCAATCTGAGCCTCAGTTTCCCCATTTGTAAATAGGAGGAAGTTGAACTGAAGTGACTTGGCACATGGTGGTATAAGGTGTGGATAATGGAACCAAAAGCCAGCTCAGCAATTTCCTAGCCACGTGCTCTTGAGCGAGTTGCCTCATCTCCCTGTACCTCAGTTTCTTCCTCTGTCAAATGGGGGGAAAGGATTTAGCGCTTTGGCTCACAAGGTCATTGAAAGGACTCAGAGTGAGCATAGCGCCCAGCCCAGAGTGCTCAGGAGACAGTGCTATTCCTACTACTCCTAACACCCTTGAGATGAAGGGTCTCGGGTCTCCTGCCAGGAACTCAGCTTCCCTCTGGAAAAGAGGACCTACTCACCAGAGGCTCGGGCGCCCCCGAAAGGCTGCTGGCCCACCACCGAGCCAGTGGACTTGTCGTTGATGTAGAAGTTGCCGGCAGCATTCCTCAGCATCTCTGTGGCCTCCCGGACAATGTCCCTACAAGGCAGGACAACAGTAAGAGGGCAGCTGGCTCCCCATCCCGAGCCCCAGGTCCAACCTCCGACACCCACCCCCACCCAGGCTGGCTGTCTGGGTGAGCACGGGGCCCAGCCTGGGACAGCGACACGGGCCAGCTGCTAGCTGTGGGCCCTTGGGCAGGTTGCTGAGGGTCTCTGAGCCTCGGCTTAATCCTCGGGAAGGGGGCTTAGCACGCTTCCCTCGCAGGGCTGCTGTAAGGGCTGAGGGTGTAGGTCAGGCCACACACACTCGAGGAAGTGGCTCATCCTGGTCCAATTCTCCTGGCCCTTGGGAGCTGTGGAACTCCCAGACCCCCCGGGTCCCAATCCCACCTCCACTCTAGAGGCAGGCATGGGATGGAGCCACGAAGGAAGGAAAAAGTAAAGCCTCAGGTATAGCATCATGGCGCCTGACTTCAAATCCTGCCTCTACAGAGGAGCAGCATGTCCCTGGCCCCTGAGCCTGTTTTTCTCCTTCTGCAGCAGGAGGCAATGGCCTTGCTGAGCGGGGCCCCATCAGATCCAGGAGAACTAGTCAAAAGCACCCATTCCCTAGAAATCCAGATTCAATAGTGGGCCCCCTTGCATTTTAACAAAGAGCCGGGCTGCCTCTGTGCACCTGTACTTAGGAGGCCTGCCTGCCGGTCAGGACTGAGATGAGGGGAATGGAGAGGAAGCAAAGGGTGGCATTATTACTAGGACCCAAGTCCAGGAGGGCAGTCTTGGGTGGGGACAGGACACCAGGACTAGAGCAGAGAGAGGAGTTTCGGCCACTCACTTATCCTGGGCGAACACCGCCCCCGTGAGGCCGTAGCTAGTGGTGCTGTCGACCAGCCTCAGGGTCTCCTTGTACTTGTCGTCCGGGTAGACATACACTGTCAGCACAGGCCCGAAGATCTCCTGAAAGAGAGGCCCCAGGGTCAGCCACCGCCTGGACCAGCGCCCTGGGGCCTCCCAGGCTGCCTGCTCTGGCCTCTGCCTCTATTCTCAGTCCCCGGTCCCTGGGCCTCAGCCCACACCTCTGCCCCTGTAAGAAGAACCAGGCTCGGCCTCCGGCACTGCCAGCCTGGGAGCCTCCGCTTCTCATCTGTGAAATGGGACTGATATACCCACCTCACCTCAGTCACGTGCCTGCTGTAAATGTCTGTAAACGTCAGCTGTTGGAATCACTGCGGTGGCTGTGGGCGGTAGAAGTGCTATGACCCCAGTGAGGGGTCAGCAGTGTCAAGGACAGAGCACTGGATGTGGGGTCAAGGCCAGGCTCTGCTCTCACTGTGCAAGACGGTCCCTTTCTAGGGCCTCACTTTCCTTATCTGTGGAATGGGTTAACGCCTCAAGAAGAAAACCACGTGCAAGGGCCCTGTGCTGACCTGGGTGAGAGGCTGTCCACTCCCGTGTCCCCAGCCACCCGCCCAGTCACCTCCTTCATGATGGGCTCCTGAGGGTCCTTGCTCTCAACGATGCAGGGCTCCACGAAGTAGCCCACAGAGTCGTCGCACTTGCCCCCGGCCAGGATAGTGAGGCTGGGCGAGGAGCGGGCATGTTCCAGCCACTTCTTAATGCGGCCAAAGGACTGGGGTGGTGGGAGGGGTGTCAGGAACCAGCTGGGGGGGCCATTCCCAGCAGCAGCCCTCCAACACACTCAGCCCAAAACACCTGTCCCTGAAGGGCCCAAATCTGAAATGGGAGCTAGGGAGCCCTGAGGGCAAAAGTCAGAGTCTGGATGAGCCATGGCAGACGAGGGCCGGCGTGCACGCTTGTGTGTGCGTGTGTGTTTGTTAGAGTCATAGACAGACTCACATATGGATATAACACACATATAAACGGCAAATGTCTACATGGGCATATGCACGACAATGTACCCTTATGTTTAAGCATAGATACATGTATGCCTGTTAGATGCATGTTTATGCATGTAGACCTACACATGTGTCTATGTACACACAAATATGTGAATATGTATGCATGATTAGTTCATGCATGGAGATACACATATGAATGCGCATGCAATTATGTGGTAAGACTGACATGTCCACACAGAGGTCTGTGCGAGTATGTTCGTGGATGTGCATGTACACGTGCGCGTGCGCAGGTCTATGCATGCAGGCGTGTGGGCCTACCTGTGTGTGTGCATACGAACATGCACACTTAAGTGGGGCTTGCTGAGCCTTGTTGCAGGCTGCGCTGGGGGTGAGTTTTTCTCTAATTGGATGATCTGCCCTTTTCAGAGCTGGGGGCAGGTGTGGCCATCTGGCTGCCTTCCTAGAAGCAGTGGGGCTGGGCAGACCCCAGGTCAGGGTCCCCCATATCTCTTCCTCCCTCTTCCACCCAGTCCAGGTCTCAGCGCCCCCAGGAATGACCGGCTTCCATCCCATACCTTGGCATCGATCACTGCAGAGAAGAAGGTCCCAAAATCCTCTGCAGGCTGGAGGCAGAGGAGACACCAGAAGACACCGAGTTGCCACAGGCCCCAGACCAAGGAAGCCCCCTCCCCGCCCACCCCAGCCCTACACACACAGGAGCCTCCAATCCCATCAGCCACCCGCTGGGCCGTGGCGGGGATGAAGGTGCCACTCACGTCGCCCACTTTGATCCTGCTGTGTTCCTCCAGCAGCCGCCCTTTGATCTGCGGCCACAGTGAGTGAGGCACGTAGAGGCGGGAGCAGGCTGAGCACTTCTGGCCACCGTACTCGAAAGCTGAGCGCAGGGTCCCGCTCACCACGCTGTCCACGTCCGCTGAACAGTGCACGAAGTGGAAGTTCTTCCCACCACACTCTGCGGGGGCCGGGAGGGGACACTAGATGGGGGAGTGGGCACCTCCGGCCAGCCCCGGGCCCTAACACACTGCCTACGCCCATCCACCCCCCAGGATGGGCAGACAAGAGCGGGAGAGGCACAGCGAGAGCTGGACATCCCAGAAACCGATGAGCCGGGCCCATTCCCCCACTCTACAGATGGGGAGACTGAGGCCCAGGCAAGGGTGAAGGGCATCGGAGGTCATCGGGACCAACTCCCCATTACGTAGATGAGAAAACGAAGACCGGGGGCAGGGGTGCTGCCCAGCACGACGGCAGAGAAAGGACCAGAATCCTCGGCTCCCACTCCATCCCCAGAAGTGGGCGCAGCGTTCTTGAAGTCTCCTGAACCTCCGCCCAGCAAAAGAAGGGGTCCACCCATGTCAGTTGCCAGGGCTGGTCCATCTTTCCCACCCCCCTGCTTCCTAAGCGGGAGGAAGCCTCAGCAGAGGACCTCACCACCACCCCCACCCACGCCCTGGTTTCCCCACTCAGTTAATCATCAGCGATAGCAGCTCCTGGTTACAAAGCACTAACCACCCACCAGACTGTTCAAAGCATGACAACCTCCTGTCATTATTCCCATTTTAAAGACGTGAAAACTGAGGCAGAACGATGAAGCCACATGCTCGACGCTAGGAAGCGGTAGAGTAAGCAGGGGTCTCTCTGCCTCAGGGAGGTGGTGGCAGAGATGGAAAGCGGAAAACTCCGGACAGCTCACCAGAGGGACTCACTGTCCCCACCTCGTGAAGGCTGGTCTGGGATGCACTGGGGGCTGAAAGCTGGAGATGCTCCAACTGGCCCTGACATCCCCATTGAAGCTCCCGCCAGTTCAGGAGTGGGGTCCGGTCTCCCCTGGGGGCCACACTTTGCCCTCAAGAGCAAGACTGCTGACCCACATCCCCAGCTCTGCTGTCGCAGTGCTGTGTGACCCTGGACGGCCCTCCCTCTCTTGAGGTCTCAGCACTTTCCCAAAGTGTGTTCCACAAAAAAACCTGGTCCACAGGGGCCTCTGCAGATATGGGGTCCTTTAGCCCAAACAGCTTGGCAAACACATATCAGACCTTACTCTTGAAGATATGCAATGCATGTTAAAAGTATTAAAGGCTCTGAGAAGTCCTGCAGGCAAGGAATCCATTTTTGCTTTAACAGGGAGCGTGCCAAATTTCCTTGATCATGACACTGTTTCTTTGTGGGAAAATTATGAATATTTCAACAGGATCTAGCCCTGCTGACCTCTCAGCTCCATCTTCCGCCACCCCCTCCCTACCCCGGCTCTACTGCCTGTGTTTCTTCAAATACAATCCCACCTCATGGCCTCCCTCCATCTGCAGTTTCCCTGTCCAGATCTGCACTGTGCAACACCAGCCACCAGCCATTGTGTGGCTATTTAAATTCAAATTAACTACGATTAAACGACACGAAAAAATTCACTTCCTCAGTCCCACCAGCCACATTTCAACTGCTAGATCCCACACAAGGTTAGTGGCTACAGTATGAGACATCACAGACACACAGCGTTTCCAACATCGCAGAAAGCTCTACGGCACAGTGCTGGTGCCCAGGACGGTTTGTCCCCCTGGATCTCTGCGAAGCTGGCTTCTTTCCACTGTTTAAGTCTCAGCTTAATGTCTCCTCCTTGAAGAGGGTCCCTAACCCACCCTCCCACCTCCCAGCCCTGCTCCCCCACCACCACCCTAGGTCATCGCCCCACCCAGTCCCTGGGGTCTTTGCCTGCCTCCTGCTACTGGAACAGAAGTTTGTGTGGGCTGGGTCTGTATGTCTCCTCATCACTGTATCCCCAGTGTCCAGAAAGCGTCTACATAGACACTTAATTTATTTGTTGAATGACTAATGAACGAACGAATGAATGAAAAATTCACATTCTGAGGCACAGGTGCTCTGTACAACCCCCAGGACTTCCCAGAGGAGAGGCCCCACCCCTAGGGCGCCCCAAGACTCCGCTCCTGCAGGGCCACCCCACCTCTGGCACCACCTCCTCTTCTTTCATCATGGCGGGGGAGGGAGGGGCCCCTGGGGCCACAGGGAAAAGGACTCTTACCTCCGGCCAGGCGTGGGAAGGTACGGAAGCGATCCAGGTTCTGGGCCACCTGCTTCCACAGGTGTTTGAAGGTGCTGAAACAGGGGGACAGGGTGGGGATTAGGAAGCTGGGCTCAGGTACCTGAGAGGGTGAGGGACCTGCGGGGGGTTGGGGGGGCTCAGGCCTTACCAAAGGAAGGGGCTGAAAAGCCAAGGGAGAAGCACCTGAGTCAGCAGCCCGGCAGGACGTGGGCAGGGGTCACAGCTGGGGTGCTGGGGAACTAAGAAGGTGCTGGCAGCTGGAAATGGGCTGCACCCCGGGCCTGCGGGGAGGGAACAAGGGGAACCTTGGTGGTAAGATGATGCAGAGGCGGCCACGGGGTGCTGGGCTGGAGTCCTGACTCAGACACCCACAGGCTGTGTGACTTTTCACTGATTACTTAACCTCTCTGAGCCTCAAATTCTGTCTCATCTGGGAACTGGATAAAACAATTCCACTGGGCAGGGCTATTCTGTGCTTCACTCTAATAAGAGTCCAGTGCTTAGGACAGTGCCGGGCATACTGCAGGTGCCTGCCTGATGGAGGACAGATGCTGCCATGGTCTGCGATGGGAACCCCCTAGCCCAGGCTCCAGAGGCCAAACCAAGGAGGAGGGTCCTGGGAGAGGGAGCTCAGCGCCCCGCCCCCACACACACACCTCCTCCCTGGGCTCTGAGTGTGACCAACCTTAGCACCACAAAACAATAAAAATGCTAATCAGTAGGGAGCCAGCAACACAGTAGCTAATACTAATTTATGACTTTCCCACCTTTAAGCCTGCTGCTCATCAGAGCATGGCAAATGGGGGCCAGGCCTGCTCCGCCAGCTAATAGGCAGGGACCCGTGGGGCCCTCAGCTGGCAGAGAGGGCCTTCTGGAAAACGGCCCTCCTCAGCAATTCTAACACTGCCATCGCCACCCCACAAACCTTGGTGGGAAAGGGGGTGGGGGAGCCTGAGGCCGGCAGAGAGGCGAGAAGGCACTGCGGGTGTCCCACGAAGCCTGACACCTCCATCCCGAAGACCCGTGGGTACCCCAGACTCAAAGTTCCCGCCTGAATCGGCCCACTTCTCTCTTCCCACTGTCTCCACCTGTCATCTCTCCCCGGACATGGACGGACTCATAATGGTCTCCCGTTTCTGGCCACTAACAACTTGTGTGCAGAGCGAGAGCCATCATCTAGGACAGAGGCCGCAAACGCAGGGGCCAGGAGGGCCAGGCGGGGAGTGAATGAAGCTGACCGGGTACACGGAGACCTGCCTGGTGGGGGTGGTGGGGAACCCGCCTGCCTCCAGCCAGTGGTGCCACATGGAAACACAGGCACAGGGACAGAGCATCCAGGTTCTCAAGGGAAGCCAACAATTAGATTTTTATATGAAACGGTCCCAGTCGTGTAAGGCTGGTTCACCTCTATCAGCAGTCGAAGAAAACAGGTATTTGCCAGGTCCCACTGAAGAGCTACCATGTGTAATCTCTGCTTGAACTCTGATCAAGCTGCTCCCCCTGCACAAAACCTTCCGTGGCTCCCACCCTCTTCAGGATAAACTCCAGACACCTCTCCAGCTCATCAGGCCTCACAGTCACTGGATTAAACGCCTCCCGAGGCGGGACCTTGTCCACTCCACGCATTCACTGCAGGGCCTTAGCAAGAGCAGACCAGCACGCACACGGGCTAAATACCCAGCTGAGTGAGTGAATGCACGAGCAGTCGTGACTGAACCACGTCCTGCCCCACCCACTTACCCCCGGCCCCTTACGCCACACTCCAGCCACAAGCGTTCGTGACTGAACCATGTCCTGCCCCCACCCACTTACCCTCGGCCACATACGCCACACTCCAGCCGTATGGGGCCACCTCCTGAAGCACAAAGCTTCAGCATTAGGCCTCCGTATGTGCTGTTCCTTCCCCGACAACACTCTCCTCCCCACCCCATCCTTTGCCTAGCCAATTCCTCAACTTAGATGCCACCTCCTCCAAGAAGCCTTCCTGATTCCCCTCCAATTTATTCCAAGCTCCCTCGTGCCCTTTGCAATGACAGAGGAGGCAACAAAATCAATGTCACCAAATATCTATAGGCTGTTTCCAGCCCGTAAAGCTCCTTCCTTTTTGTAAACTAGTTCGACTCTCACGACTACTCTGCAAGGTAGGGCTCATAACACCTGTTGTACAGGTGAAGAGGCCCACAGCCATACAGTAAGCAGTGGGTATGGACGATTTCAGAGGCCCAGCTCTTGGACAGAGGTGACAGGGTGGCTGCCTTCCCAACATCCCGACCCCGCCCCAGGGACTTACGGTACACTGCCTGTGAAGTTGATGCCACAGAGGTGCTCTGAGCTGGTGATGGTGTCCCCAAATGTGGGCCCGTCAGCTGGCACGAACTGGATGATGTTGGGGGGCAGGCCGGCCGCCCGGAGGATGCGGTAGACAGCATAGCTGGCCAGCATGGCAGTGTCACTGGGCTTCCACAGGACCACGTTGCCCTGCCCGGGAGGCCCAGTGATGCCTCACAAGGCTGAGGGCCACCAGCCCCAACTCCACCCCACCCCAAGAATCCCTCACCTGCAACCATCAGGACCCTTTGCGGGCCAGACGTCCCCTATCTGACCCCACTCCTTCAGGTATCGGGCACTGTGCTCTAAAAGCCCTTGCCAGCAAGACCATCCTGCCCTGTCTGCTCCTACACTCTGGCCAAGGCTCCCTTCCTCCAGAAGCCTGCATGGGCTGGTCCTGCCGGCACCCCTCGGGCAGATCTGTTCTGGGTGTTTCTGAGTTGCTGGGTGCTCACTGGGAGCAGCTGAGCAAGTGTTCACAGGCCTGTCTCTGCAGATGCCCCGGGTGAGGGCACACGGTTGCCTGCGCCTGTGCACATCTGTCTGTGCTCAGATGCACGAGGACAGCCCTGTGCACGAGCATCCTCCAGATCACCCAGCCGCCCCGTGTGGGGCCCAGGCCCCCCGATGACTCTTAGCCCTCTTCCTGCTACTCTGTGAGCCACACAGGCTCTCGGAGGGCAGGCTGCATCTCTCCCATCGGACTGGGAGCTCATAAAGGCAATGGCCACTTTTGCCCTGATAATGGCAGTAGAGCCCAGTGACTTTAAAACTAAGCCTGAATCCTTATCTCTCCCATCATTTACTAGCCATGCAACCCTAACAAATAAATCACCAGGCACACAGCAAGCACTCAAAGGTGAGCTATAATTATCATCACTAACAGTCACTACACGCTAAGCCTGCACAGGGTCACACCTGCCTGGCATCAGACGTGTCACACACCAGGTCTCACAGCCCTGAACTGCAGCCTATTATTTCCACTTTGCAGATAAAGAAACTGCCTCAGGGCAGTGTGGGGGTTTGCCTGGGGTCACCCAAAGCAGGACAGAGCTGGGATCCAAACCAGCCTCCAACCCCAAAGCCTTTCCATGGCCCCGCACTGCCTCCACCCTTTGGGCTTCTCCCCCTGACTAGGGCTGGGACCTGAGGAGCTTGAGTGTGGCCTTTTGTCTGCTGAGACAGGAATGATGCCAAGCTCCGCCCATTCCTACCCACGCCCACATCTCACCATCAAGGCTGGCGCCCCTGCCAGGTTGCCACCAATCGCAGTAAAGTTAAAGGGAGAGATGGCTGCCACGAAGCCCTGGAGACAGAGAAGGCAATGAGGCCACGCTCGAGGCTCCCGGCAGCCCCTCCCGCCCCGCACCTGTGGGTACCTCCAGCCCCCGGTACACCACGCTGTTGGTGCTGGGTGGCACGCTGATGGGCTGCTCCCCCTCCAGCTCCACGGCGAACTTGGCATTGAATCGGAAGAAGTCAATGAGCTCGGCCGCGGCATCGATCTCTGCTTGGATCACAGTCTTACCCTGAGAGGCGGGAGGGCCAGGGGGTCAGCAGCAGCAGACATCCCTCCCGTTAGGCCTCACATTGGACCCCGTGCCCATGGTGACATCACATGCAGGCTGTGGTGGCTCCCGCCCAGGGATGAGTATGTGCCAAAAACCAGAAGGCCTTGTGACTAAACGTCCTCTCAGACTGTCTGTCCCTCCTGAAAGTGAATGTGAGCCACGAGGAAAGGACTCCAGGCAAGAATGGGCTTTTCCCGCATCAGGCGGCCCCTCTTTGGCACACAGGGTCCCTGGCAGCTGCTCAGGACACACAGCCAAGGAAGCTGAGCTAAGGTGTGCTGTTCCCTGCTCTACACAGCTACCATGCTTCCTACAAGCTCCCGAGTCTTCAAATAAAGAGGCGCTTTAATCTAGCCTTGGAGTGTGTGTGTCTCTTCCAGCCCAGGTGTGACTCACCTGGGATATCTGGGACACTGGGGCCTGATACCCACCCTAGAGGCTGCTGAGAGAATTGGCAGTGTGGAGCTGTCATACCACCTCTGTGCAGCAGAGGGAGCTCTCACTGAAGGACGAGCTCCGGGCTGACCCAACCCCCTAAGGCTCCTTCCTGGGGAGGGTGAAATTAATCCTTTCTGCCTCTGCTCCTTTCCCCAGTGCTCTCTGGCCCAACATACATTCCTTCGAAAATGTTTATCAGGAGTTTCTACGACTCCTGGGAGACATGATACAAGGTCCAGAAAGACGGAAAACATTAACACATGATTACCAACCCCCAAAAGCTTGTAAAGAAGCAACGGACACACAGGAACTCGTGAAAGCCCAGTGTGAACTGAGCCGTAACTGACAAATGAACAGCATGTTATGAGGGCGGGACTGATCCTTTTGGACAGAGAAGTTCTGGAAGCCTCACAGAGGAGGTGATGGCTGGGCTGGACACTGACAGGTAAGAATTTATGGGGCAGAGAAGACCGTGAGCCCTCCAGGCAGGGGACACAGGGCAGAGCCAGGAAGATGGGACACCTGTGGTGTCCTGGAGTCCTGCAAGGTCCAGGCTGGCGACATCATGGACCAGATGGCCTGGCAAGAAGGGCAAGGAAGCTGGTGAGCTGGACAGAGGTGGGGACAGAAGGGCCCTGAGGCATGGGCTGAAGACTTGGTATGTGACTCTCAGTGACAGAGATCTCGGTCTGTAAGCCTAGAGTGGCCTGTGGAGGTGTCAGAAAAACCACTCAGGGCTGCAAGGGCCTGACCAAGCGCCTAGAGAACTGCACAGGGCAAGTGACAGTCCAGGCGAAGCATGACAAAGGCCTGGCCGAGCGTGGGACAGAGAAGACAGGGAAGAGACATTTCCACAGGAGGACATGCGGGTTTAGCTGTGCTCAACTGCCACCCACCCCACCCCAACTGTGCCCAAGACACCTCACCTGTCCCACCATGGTCTTGGCAAGGACCTCTGCCCTGTGCGGCCCGCTCAGCATATCTGCTGCCTTCAGAAAGATCTGGGCCCGGTCCGTGACAGGCTTCAGGTCCCACTCCTTCCTGGCAGCCAAGGCAGCCTCAATGGCTTTGTTGAGCAGAGTCTGACGAAGAGGAGAAGGTTGCGGGCATCTTCCTGCAGCACCAAGGGCTCCAGGGAAAGGAGCGAGGGAGGAGAGACCTCCCCCCAGGGAGGACTCCTGGCTCCCATGGCCCTCAGCCGCCTCACCCCACAGCTGCAGTCGCCAGCTAGGCCGACCCAGACTCAGAACCTGTCCTGCTGGAGAAGTGTGAGGGACCTGCCGGCCAGGTCAGCATGCCAAGCATGTGGCACTGGGTCCCTCAGCTTTTACACCTACTCCACTTCCTCTCGTGGTCTCGTCAGGGCCTCACCTCATTCCTGGGGCCTGAGGCCCCGGAACCTACCACCCAGAGCCACCAGCCCTCAAGCTCAGGGGCCTTGCCTTGCCCTTGCCAGGCCAGAACCACAACCTAAGATATACACCTGCTGCTGGCATCCGAGATGCCATTTGCCCTCATCACTCTGTGATGCCAGCTCCTAGACCCCCGGCCACAGGTCACCCCATCCCCTCTGCATGACGCTAACTTCCTATCTGGCTTTCTCTCCATGGTGTCTCTAATTTCCCCGCCTTGGCCTCCACAGAATCCACTCACCCTCCCCAGTCAGCCTGTCTGGGGATGTCCTAGCCCGACCAAGGCAGCTTCCATTTGGCTCACAGTAATCCCTGCACGCCTGGCCTATTAAGGACAGCAGCCCAGGGACTCCCTCAGTCTGGGATGCCCCAACCGTGCCCCTACACCCCATGGCCAGAGGGAAGCAGTGTCTAATGTCTACCTCCACGTCAGCAGCCAGCAGGACAAAATAGGGTCAGCACCCCAACCCCAAAGTCACCAGGGACTCACCTTGTCTGCATAGCAGAACTTGGCCACCTTGTGTCCATGGTTAAAGGGCTGAAAGAAGAGAAGAGTGAGGTCACCGCCCAGGATGGAGGTGCCAGGATGGGGCTGGGGGGATGGGGCTCAGAGCTGGCTCTCTGGGCAAGAGCCCCCAGCACTCCCTTGTCCTCTCCCCTCCACCCCCACGAAGCCTTCGCCCGTAGCCCCGGCCCACACCGATCTCTGCCCCTTGACTATGGAGCATCTGCTGTTCGATGAGTAAGACGTGGCTCCTGCTCCAGAAGGTCCCCAGTTCATGAGAAGGGCACGGACCACACAGTCTTTCAGGGAAAGCGTGGACTTTGTGGTCAGACAGACACGGGTTCGAATCCCAGTCTGCCACCCACTAGCTGTGGGGCCCGTATGAACAGACTTCCCCTCTCCAGGTGCCTCTGTCTGGGACGTGGGGACCTCCCCGCCTCATAGCACGGAGAAGAGGACCGAACGGGGCCACAGGTGAAGATTCTTCCGACCAGGTCTAGCATGAGGCTGCAGCTCAGTGATGCGTGTTACACCAGGGGAGGCCCGAAACGACACACTGGTGCTGCGAAACACTCAGGATTCCCGCCATGCCCCAAAGTCCCTAGGGAACAGAGCCATTGCTTCTTGAGCCCCTTGCATGGGGCCCGGATTTACTCATCAAAAAGGGGCAATTCTAACAAACACCGACAGGCCTCAGCATGAGCAAGCAGGCAGGGAGAAACTTCACTTCCTTCCCTGCCCAGGGCTGGTGACATATTTTACACCATAATGATCAACACTTTCGCCACCTGTTAGTCTGCCAATGGTCTGTGTGCGACTTTCCTGTCTAATATGGCAGCCACTAGCCACACATGTCTATAGCCAGTTCCTCTGTTGCACGAGCCACATTTCGTGCCATCGATAACTATGTGTGGCTGGTGGCTGCCATAATGGACAATGCAGCCATAGAACATTTCCCTCGGCATCGTAGTTATTTCTACGGGGCAGTGCTGGTCTAGGCTTCAGTAGAAGAGGCCTTTTCCCCTTCATTTTAACCCCTGGCACCGTTGCCTGTATCCTGTCCATACCTGAGATTGTCCTGTGACACTCAGGGGCCTAAAAAGGCAGCTAGGACTCAAGCCCTTCAATTTAACATGTCCAAATGGCCGCCAGATACTCCAGGTCAGCAATATGTCCTGGCGCTATAGCTCCTGCCCTCATGCCTGCAACTGCCCCGTATGCCTGGGCTCCAACCATGCCACGTGGCCAGGTCAGTGAGGCAACATGGGAAATGAAAACCGGAAGTGCCCACCCAGGGGGCTAACAAAATCCCAGGTGCTGCAGCAGCCGTGGAGGCCGGGGGAGCTGCAGGTAAGGGCAGGCTCTAGGCAGTTACAGAGACGAGACCTGGTGAGTGAGGTCATGGGAGCCACTCTCAGCTGGCACCTGGCACGCCCCGTGTGCAGACCTGAGGAGCATGCAGATCCCAGGCCGTGCTCCGACGGCTCCAGGTCATCTCTGTGTGTGACTCCTGTCCCAGGCCAACCTCAGAACCCTTAGCAAGGGGCCCCGGGTTCTCACCCTCACCCCTCCCCACGCCTGCTCGGGGCTCCATCTGGACAGAGCCAGAACGTGCTTGCCCTAACTGCAAAAGGGCCAACCTTTTACTCCTCAAATTACAGAAACTATGAGTTTCCTGGTCCATCCAAAGTGTACGCCAGTCCCTGGCTCCAGAATCTCCAAGTAGGTGGGGTTCTTGGGCCAATGTCATGACAGGGCTTGGAGCCCAGCCTTCTCACCCTAGCCCCCTTGTGGAGAAATCCGTCAAGAATGACAGAAAATGATGTGTGGACTCCTCAGGTTCTTTCTTGCCTGTCGACAAGACTCAGTTATGGGCTGAATACAGTGTGGCAGGCTAGTCCGTGAAATCACACAACCCACACTATATCTCTGTGAGAATCAGGGCTGATTACAAAAGTCTCTTGACATCACAGTGAATAACTTCCAGTGCTTTAAAACACGTATTAATGCGAACTAATAAGGTGCTTCTAAATCCTCTTTAGAAATCGTCAGGGTGCAAATAAATTCATCTGAATCAAAATCAATGGGATATGGTTCTAGAAAGATGGACCCGTCATCCCTGTTCCATATCTAACTGTGCCACCCCAGGCAGGTCACTTGACATCTCTGAGTTTCTCCTCCGATCTGTAAAATGGGCAGCTAACTCCCTGCTCTTCCCCCCTCTGACGGGAGTGGCAGGGACTAAAGGAAGTGCTTCCACGGGTGGGGCGGGGCCTCACGGACCAGTCTGTGGGAGGAGACTCGGCTCCACCTGCCTATGACCTGGGTGCTTACCTGGCCACACCCTGGGGGCTTACCTCAAATGAGCTCATTGTCAGCTAGACCAGTGGGTCCCGAGTACAGATGTGGGCTTTAGAGGCTGTCTTTTCTTTGGAAGGATTATCTTTCATTCTGACTTTCTATCCTCGCTTCCTACGCTCCAGGTGGTCAATGAGTCAACTTTTCTAAAGAGATGATGAAGCTGGTGGCAGCCATTGTTTTGAACTTCCTCTTGGCAGGCCTGAAGTTGGCACCTTATATGAGAGCCACCCCCAAGACTGCTTTTGGAAGTTTACACCAGTGCATGGAATGAGAAATCTAGGCGTGGTTCTCAGGGGCCCGAAAAGGCAGCGAGGACAGACCCCTTCGGAGGCAGAGATCCCACCCTAGTTACACGCTTACGTGCTGCCCGAGAGACAGACCCCAGATTCAGGGAGAGGCCGAGCCCTGCCCACTCGCTGGACTTACCGACACCTGGTACTGCACGTCCGCGGTCCACACCTCCTCGTCCCCCACCACACACGGGATGGCTTCTGTCCGGCCCTTCAGGTCCTTCAAGGCCTGGGAAGAGGACAAGATGATAGGTGGGCACCTCCTTCCCCTTTTCTCCCCACCCAAAACCTGATGCAGAGTCTCCAATCACAGATGCCCAGGCAGGAACAGAAATGAGAAGGGGGCCAGCCTGGGCGGTCTGTGGTTAAGAGTGTGTGCTCCCCTCAGGGGACACAGCCCTTGTCCATTGTCACCTCCTGTCACGCAGAAAGATGAGGCAGTGCCAGGTTTTCCCATTACAAAAAGATTTTAAAAACTACATTTGAAATTTACATGAAATCTCATAATTTTGAAAATTCTGGCAATTAATGGGAGAATGTTTTGAAGCACAAAACATCTGTGGGCTTATGACCCCTGACCTGGACTGAGGCCCCAAAGAGGCCCCGGTTGACACATGATGCTCCCAACCTCTCCCACCCTCCAGGGTTCCTCCCAGGGCTGGAGGGCGAGGCAGGAGAGAGCAATGGCTGTGGGCAGGGAGAAGCATCTCGGGAGCTGCTGAGGCCACCTCTGTGCCATGCCCTGTACCCAGTGGGCACCCCCACCTCCCTTACCTTTTGCAGTGCACCTCGCTCAGGGCTGCCCTGTGTGAATGCCAAGATGGGCTCATTGGCCACCTTCGGGGAGGAGACGTGCTTCCACCGAAGCCTGGATGTCAGGACAGGAAAGAGAGGCGGACAGGTCAGCAGTGACCACCACCAAACTCAGCTTCTCTATCTCTAACAGGGGGTCCTGGGTTGGCCTAGAATCCTGAAATCCAGAGCAACTAACTATAGAACTGAGGGGTGAGAACAGGCTCTGGGGTCCAAAAACCTAAGTGCAAGTTCAAGTTCCAGTCCTGCCACTGCGTGTCCTTGGGCATGTGAACTGCCTCCTCTGACCCTGTTTCTACTTCTAGGAAGTGACGATAATCATACAAACTCACATGGTTGTTTCAAGTTTAAATCCATACATACAAAACCATTTCTAAAAGGGTTTTCCCATAATGCAAACTTTATCCCAAAATGGCCCCAAGTCACTTCTTTCTCTAAGCTGAAAAGGCAGGACATTCCAGAGCTGGGTGGGCCGCATCAGCATGTGAACCAGCTGAGAGTCCCCGGCACAAAGCGCTGAGCTCTGCAGGAACATCCAAGATGTGGACTGTGAACTTGGACGAGTGCTCTATGCTGTTCACAGAGACAGGAAGGGCTGGTTTGGGGTTCAGGTCTGATTTCTGGGTACTGAGTTTCAAGAACTCCTGGACCTCATTGATTGGTGGCCACTGTGACCACCACCCCTAACGTGCCTGGGGGTCACAAGGTGGGAGGACAGGCAGGTAAGACTTTACGGTCAGTCATTCCAGAACTGGAACCTCAGCTGTGGGACTTCTCCGTCAGGCCTCAGTTTCCTTATCTATAAGGGAGGACATTAATGACAAAGGCCACCGAAGGCACGCAGAGCTTGCCAGACTTGATAACACCTCTCATCTATTAAGGAGGGGCCCAAGGATGGGTCTCACCAAAGACCTCGCTATAAAAATAAGGTAATTTAGATCCTAAAAGGAAAATGGCTAGTTCAAGACCAAGACCAGGAGGAACCTGGATTGGAATCCAGAAAAGCCCAGGTACCATCTCCCTCTGGAGTCAACGCCCACAGCCGGAGACCAGTAGGGACACGTCTGCGGTTGGGCAAGCAGGGTTGCTGGTCCACTGCAGGAGGGTGAATGTACAGCTGGAGGACACAGTCTCTCATTTAGCAGAGAGGGGGATATTTGGGGCTTCGACAGTGGCACAGTGACCTTGGTTTTGTCTGTGCTTAGACAAAATTATGAGTTGCTTTGTTGCACCTCATTTCACCATGGTCTCAGCGTGACCTTGTCTGAGGCCGCCGGTGTTCTGTAAGGTGGCTTTGAACTTGCACTGGCTATGACTTGCCCTTTTTTTTCTTTCTCACTGGGAAGCGGTTTGGGGGCTCAGAGACCTGGCCTGGGAAGCCTGAGGGAAGGACACGAAACCATGGGCAGTGAGGGCAGGTCCTGCACTCATCCTACAGGATTATCGGGGCCCTGCTACATCTCTGACATGATTCTGGAAACTGGAGATACAGCAACGATGGAGACGGCAGGGCCTCTGGCTGCACGCAGCTGACCTCTAGTGGGGGACATGGGCAAGAAATCAGCACGATGAAGACAGAGGGAACCCAAAAATGAGTAAGTAAGGGGAAACGCTAGGCTACTTCAACCAGGGTGGTCAGGGAGGGCTTCTCTGAGGAGGTGACTTCTGGCGGAGACCTGGAGGAGGTTCATGAATAGTCGGGAAGAACAGTCCAGGCAGAGGGAACAGCAAGTGCGAAGGGCCTGGGCAGGGAACCTGTGACAGGAAGAGCAGAAAGGGGCCTGTACCTTGAGGGGGAGAGAGAGGGGATAGGGCTGGGTGGCCCAGGACCCAGAAGGGCAAGGTGAGCACTGTAAGCTTCTCCCTCTTCTTCCCCCACCCCACCCCCCAGGCCACACCCACCATGCCCAAGGAAGCCAGCCACATTCCTCAGGCCCCACCTGCCCCCTGGCCAGGGGGTGGGGGAATATGGAGCTAACCCAGCCCCCCACTAGCTATGTGACCTCAGGCAAGTCACTGTCTAGAAGTGACACCCATCTCCTCCTGTGGGGTTACTATGGAGATCTGAAGCAATAATAATGCTAAACTACAGATGTCCTCAACAAATTACAATCCACACCGCCCCTTCCACCTATTGTAGCGGGAAAGTTCAGCAGCCAGAAGCCCCAACAGCCCCTCAGGAAAGGGGTGGGCAGTGTCCACTCCCGGGGCCATCTGGGAGGTTCCCGCAGTCCCTCACTGGGCCTCGGTAGCAGCACACCAGCACCGATCAGTAAACCAGACACGGCCATGTCCTCCTTGGCCAAGAGAGTGTCACTGAGAGTCAGCAGGGAACAGGTACTGGGCTGGAGCCAGGAGACAGGCCGCCCTGACCCTTCTCTGAACCCCAGTTCCTGGTGGGCTCGAAAAGCACAGGCTCTGGAAGCAGACATACCACAGACCCAACCCCACACCTGCTCCGAGACCTCAGCACATCACTATCAACTCTGCGGGCCTCTGTTTCCCCACCTGAAAAACGGGGGGAACACTACGTTCCCTGCAGGCCACTGTGAGGACCCAAGCTGCTTGCCTTTCCTCACTTAGGTTTTTCTGAGAAAACTGGAAAGGTCTTCCAGAGCCTGTACTCCAGCAGGCCAGACTCTCAAAGGCAAATTGGTTCCCACACACCCCGAGGAGCAGGGGCTGGCCCAGGGGCTCAAGAAATACAGCTGGAATAAACAGCAGCATATTCCACCCAGAGCGGAAGCTGAAAACATCACAGCGACCAGCTCCCTCCCAGGCAGGGTCAGAAACAGAAATCCTGTGGGCCTCCCTTCACCTTCCCACTGTGACCTCAGGAACACACGCCCCCATGGCTTTCTTTATGCCTGGAAAGTCACCAGGCCCCGACTCAGCTGTCCATCAGTCTGAGTGTGGCCTGGGGGACAGAGACTAACTAGTTCAAAGGTCAGCCTGAACCAACTAGAACCAAAAAAAAAAAAGTCCAGGGACTCCTGTCAACTTCTGGGAGGACGGAGGGGAGCTTGTGGGCCATTTGGGATTAACTGGAGCGCCTTCCATTGGCTCAGGGAAGACAGAGATGAATCACTTGCGGGACTGTGAGGATCTACAAGGTCCTTCTAGGTAGGACATTTATTCCACATCCCAAGGTCGCAGCTATATCTCAGATAAGGTCAAAACAGCTCACACACTTTCTCATCACATTTTGTGAGTGCCCATCAAGTGCCTGGCTCGGGGATGCTGAGATGAACCCAACCTGACTTTTCTCAGAGCAGCTCTCGGCCCTTCCACTCAGGAAAGAGGCATAGGGTGGAGTCCGAATTTGACTCGGATGCCCCTGACAACCTGGGATGTCCTTTCTGCTCATCCAGGGACATCACGCAGACAGGGTGTGAGACCTTGGCTCCCCTCCCCACCCTGTGCAGGTACCAGGATCTGAGCTAGCAAAGCCACAGCATCAACAGACCTCCTGTAATGGGCAACGTCAGGGCTGGATGGAGCTGTGGGCCAGCCAGTGAAACCTCAGACGTGCGCAGAGGGGAAAACTGAGGGGAAGCGGGGTGGCCTGAGCTCCCAGGTCACGCGTGGCCTCTGCCCTGGTCCACAGCTACATCAGCTTTTCCTGCAAATGGCCACACCTGCTCCACTGTCTCTAAACTACTCTCCAAACCCCAGCCAAAGTTAGCTTTTAACATGAAAATTTGATTATCAGACAGAGAGAGAGAAAGACAGAGAGAGAGAAAGACGGAGAGTAAGTGCTCAGCTCAGAACTACTCAGTGGCCTCTCATTTCTTCTCACACAAAAAAATCAGAGTTCTGACTGAGGCCTCCAGACCCACTGCCCATTGCTCCCATAGCCTCCCACCTCATTTGCTGTGATGCAGTCACCCTGGTCATTTTTGCGGTTCCCAGTGCATGGAACACTCTTCACGTGGCTGGCCTCACACCACCCGCGCCTCTTATCTGATCCTCTTCAGCCTCACATTTCTCTTGAAGCACCAGTGACAACCCTCATTACAAAGCTCTGACCGGCCATCTGTGCCCCCACCAGGCTAGAAGCTCCACTTGGCCGGCCTGTGTCCCTTCTGTTCACCACTGGACACACTGCCTGGCCCGTGGTAAGCACTCGAGAAATTCCTTTTAAAACACTTAACGCACAAGTGGTGTCAGAGCCAACGCCAGGCTCCCAGGACTGGACTCCCAGGCCAGTGCTCTCCTGCTAACACCTGGGGCTAGATGCAGGCTCCTTGGGCTCCCCAGTGTCTGAGGTCGGAGACGGCCAAGATCAGAAAGAGAAATAGAAAGGAAATTACCCTTGCTTCATTCAGTGCCCAGGCTTTTCCAGCTGTTATCTGGGACTTGATAAGACTAATCCTCCTTATCAGTGAGATAAGGGACTAGCAATGGAGGTGAGCAGAGAGAAAGGCCCAGGCGAGTTCAGAAGGGAGAGGCAACAAACCCAGAATGAACTATTTCTATTTTTATGCCCCAGAAAAAATATCAAGGAACATTTATTGAAACTTACAATGTGCCTGGCACCATGTTGTGATTATCTCACTGAATCTGCCCTACAAATGTACTATTATCTCCATTTGATGGATGAAGAAACTGTAGTTTACAGATTACATACTCCTCCTAGCTCAGGGTCAAGTGATAGAGCAGGGTTTGAACCCAGGTCTTCCTCATGCAGGAGATATACACTATGGCAGAAGCACCTGGATCATCTCAGAGACCCACGGTCAGCTGGGGCTGATGGGATACGTTCATCCCCCTCACTGTCCAGCTAGCACCTCCTCCCTCCCAGCATTTCCCACCTGAGGAAAGAGGCATTTCCCACCTGAGGTGGGTAGTGGCTTGCCCAAGGTCACACGGGTGTCCACTGGCACTGCTACCTCAGCCCAGGGCTTTCCACTCCATGATGTTGTCTCTGCCAGGAAAGGAAAGGTCTAGGGGGGATGAGGAGCCCCCCAAGAAAGGCAGATGTCTCCCCCATGCCCCGGGAAGGCATTCTGCATCGGGGTAATCTATTAGAACAAAAGGGAAGGACTGAGGACATCTGAGTTCCACACCGGCCACCATCCTCGTGCTGCTGGGACCCTCTTGTCTTGATCGTCCTGATAAAAGATGGTCATCCAGGGCAGCCCATTAGCGGCATAAGGGATCAAAATAATGATGGAAGCAACACTTACTCGGTCTTCTAGGTGCTGGGCACTCTTCGAAGTGGTTTTTGTGTATGAATTCATTGAATCTCAAGACAATGCTATAAGGTGGCTACTATTACCTTCATTTTCCATATGAGAACATGAGGCAGCACAGAGAGGCCAAGTAACCTGCCCAGGGCCACAGACCTGCTAACAGTTAGAGCCAGGATCCACCCCATGCTGTCCTCTGCCTAGTCCAACAGCAAACATTCAGCACCTACTACGTGCCGAGCCAAGCGCTCTGAGGTGTGCCAGCACCGACTGCTGCCTGACTGGGGACTTTCTAACGACTTCAGAAGCAAGTCTTAGGATTGCTGTAGGTTCTACTTATTCCTTCACTCAATTATTTACAAAGCACACAGAGGGTACCAGGCCCCCAGCGAGCCACTTGTCACATTGCCTTTAACTGCTACATGGCTGTTAATAGGATTATCCCCCATTTTACATACTGGACACTGAAGGGCCAAAGGAGGACTGCCTTGCCAAGGACACAAAGCACTGGGTGAGTGTGGGTTCGCCAGGGGTACCCCTCCCTCTGGTGTTCAGCAGAACACCTGCACGTGGTAGGTATTCGGTAAACAAGTAAATCTGTGCGACTTGCATTTGGGGTCTGAGAGGGGTGTCTCAAAAGTGCAGAGAGGCCTGCAAATGGGACCGTGCTGAGGGTGTGGCAAGTGTGGCCCCAACCTTGGCTTGGGAAAGGAGCCCCTTTCTCCTACGTCCTCTTTCTGTGCCCGTCCTTATCCCATTCCCACCCACAGAGGACAAACATCAGTGTTGAGACTCGCCCCTGCCCAGGGCACCCCTGTGCCATCCCTTGGGACACTGATTAACTCAGAAAAGGCCTAGCTCAACAGAGGTGACATAGCGAGTCACAGTCCTAGGGGTCAGGCAAACAAAACTCAAGTTGGGGGCAGGGCCTGCCCAGCCTGTGAAAGGGAGACAGACGATTCTGGTAGAGAGAGGAGAGACAGACAGAAACATTATCCTACCTCCCCCACCTAGTCCAGAGCAGGAAGGAGCTCTGCCATTGAGTGGACAAGGGTCTAGGGGCTCTGCTCCGCACTGTGGGGGTTTGCAAATCTGGGTTTGCAGGGCACCTCCACTTGGAAACTCCTCCTTGGCTTCTTCCTCTGCGATTTGAAATAACATCTACTGCACGGATGTTGAAATACAAGTGATAAAGATGATCATGATAATAACTGGCCATTGCCTATGTGCCTGCCACTGTTTAATGCATTTTAACAGATTAGCTCAATTAGTCTCCTCAATGAGGTACATACCAAATGCCTAGCACAGCGTTTGGCACCTCATGATCACTCCATAAATATTCCACCCACCAGAAGAAAGGAGTCGCTTTTCTGCCCAATACTTAACTTGAAAAAAGGGGAAGAGGAAGAGAGAGGCAGAAATCCCGGTAGAGAGAGGAGAGGGAAGATTCAAGGAATCCCAGAGGTGGAATCCCTAAATGTGAGATCGAGAGTGAGGTGAGAAGTGTGGCGTGCTGAAACTAGAGGTGCCCCTCGGAGGAAGCCAGCACACTCGGGGAGCGGGCACATTTAGAAGGTCGGGTGTTTGGAACAAGATGAGTGCGTAGGAGGCTACCTTCCGAGCGTGGGAGCAGGGAGCGCACCGAAGCACCCCCGCTCCGCCACAGGATTCGGGAACGGGGTCCCCCTTGCTGAAGGAAGGAGATAAGGTGCTCGCAGTGGAAGGAAGACCTGGATGGAGAGGCAGGAGGGCACTAGACGAAGCGACCCCCAGCAAAAGGGAGCCCCTGGGAAACTGGCAAGGCTCCGGCAGGGAATCGGAGCTGGGGGAGCCCAGCGACTCCCGGGCCCCCGGGCCAGCAACGTCGCTTGAGGCTTCCCCAGACCCGGTGCTCACTCACCCGGCCCCCCTCCAGGGTTGGACCAGCAGGACGCGCCGAAGTGCGGACAGGAGAAGCATCTCAAGCTCGTTGATTAGCTATATTCTCAGGACCGTCCGCGCTCTGCGCAGCCGGACGGCGTGGCCCCGCCCGGGGCGCACCACTTTGGAAAGTGGGGGGTTCCGAATCACCCCGGCCGTCCTCCGAGTTATAATCAACAGAAATACCTCTGTATTTACCCTGCGTTCATGAAACAATTCTCTTTTTAAGGCATGGTGGAGGACATTACGTTACATAGGATAAGATAATCCAAAAGAGGAGTCTTAAAATATACATGTTTCCCCATTCTCTCTTTATGGTATGACCCACCCGCCTCTGAGGGAGCCGGAGAGAGGGCGTGATCCTCATCGACCAATCAGAGTGACACATTGGAAGCTCCTGGGCTAATCAGAGGAGCGGTCATGTCGCAGTCTTCGATATGTCAGAAAGAGCCAATGAAAGAGCGGGAACGGGATACGTGCATGGCGGGGCGTGAAAACAGCTGGTCTGCGTGTTAGGTCGCTTGGACCTTGAAGCCAGACCACTTGGTCAGCCCATGACTTTTGACTATCAGACTCTTCCCCGCAGGTCCACACAGCGGCCAGCCTCCTGGCTCTCCCCTGGGGCTGCAGCCCCGGGGATGAGCCTGCGGGCCCTGCCTTCAGCCCCCTGGCCGGGACCCAGCTACCCTCCACCTCCCGGTCTGGCGCCTAGATAAATCAGCCTGATTCCTTGCAGATTACGGTTAATAAAAGATAAAACCCGAGCAGGTCTATGCTTAGCTTTTCCTTCAAAGACTCTTGTCACGGAACCAGTTGCTCCTGCGCTTTATTTCTGCCCCGCCCCACTCCGGTTCAAATTTTCAGTTTTCTCTTGGAGAAGTTTGGTGAAGGATTGAAAGTTATTTAAAACTCGGATTCTGAAGACTTTCTGATGACGAGGTCTTAAGGATCTATTCTTTTCCTAAAATACTGTTAATGCTTTTCTTACATCTTCTTATTTGTTTATACTTCGTCCACCAGTGCAAACCGCGAATCTGCTTAGGAGTCCGAGTTCCAATGCCGATTGTGATTCTTTCCTATGACATTAGCAAAATACATAACTTCCCTGGATCTCGGTCTTCCTGTCTATAAAGTGGGGGTAATAATACCCACCTTAGAATACCCTCATTATCTCATGCAACTCCTTTTCTTCTAGAAGGTCACACCCTTTAAGACACTTCCGAGAATATAAACAAAGAATGGGAAGTGGGGAAAAAGAAACGACATTACGCATAAGTCTTACAGATGACAAAAAGTACATTGCAATTGATGATGGCTGTTTCTCCTCATCCTTGAAGAAAATTCTTGGAGGGCGGGCAGTTCATATGGGGCAAGGTCTCCCTGAATCTGGCCCGTAAAAAAAAAAAAAAAGGAAACTAGAACATTGGACAGTGTCAAATCCAGAGCCTGGGAGGTGGACACTGTGAGGAAATTTAAGAAATGGGAGTTTGGGAACCTCAATTCTAAACCAGGCTATGCCAATTACTCAGCCCGTGAGTTCTCTGGGTCTCTTCCCCTTCTGTAAAATATGTATAATAAATCCTATTTTATCTACTTCCAAAAAATTTATTGTGAGATGCAAAGTAACAGGTGATGTGAAATTTTCCTACTTTATCACTGGGTAATTTCATTTAGTGTTTATGTGGCCCACAGTGCTCTTGCCTCTCCCCCATCTCCACTTTATCCTCAATTTGAAAAAAAAAAAAAAAAAAAAAGGACACCATCAATTCTAAGACATTTCACTTTATTTAAAAGAAGCCAATATACAGGATATAAAGGGCATGATATTTACAACAGTACAGTAAACAGGTTGGTTTCCGGTAGGATCAGTAGTCTTTCAGTGAATATAAACCCCCTTCCCCTTGATGCTAGACCCAGCTGGCAGACAAACAGCAACAGTGGGTGGGATGGGACTAAAGGATAGAAAGTCTCCCTGGATGGGACTAAAAATCAGGTTAGGTGCTAAATGTCCATGAAGGGGTCTTGCGGTGGGGTGGAGTGCCTTTGCCTCATTGCTTTGAGCTTGGCAGCTTTTTTTTGGATTTGCCCAAGCCTAACACACAGCCCATCCTGAGCCTGGAAATCTTCCACCTATGGAAAATTCCCTTCCAGAGAGAATTCACCTTTACCTATACCCACCCAGTTGCCTCTAGACTCCCCACTCTAGGACAGTGCACCTCTAGAACCAGAGCTTAGAGTAAAGGATGCAGGTCTGAGGAAGCCCCCAGCATCCTAGTCTCTCATCCAGGGCCCTGTAGGAGCAAGCGCATCGGGGCTGGCAGCCCAGGCAGTAGGCACAGCCAGGACTGAGCTGTAGGCATCTTGTGGCATTTCCACTCCTGCTCCAGCTGCCCAACAACCCGGGACCCACTAGGACTAGGACCCTAGTGGGTCCCAGGTCCCAAGGAAACCGTGTGGTCCCTGAACCAATATCTCCATTGCCAAACACAAGTGACTTGGAAATAAATCTTGGCAGACCAGAGTTCAAGTAACTAATCAGAGTCCCCGCTGAAGCAAACTTGTCCCCTCACGAGCGCTCTCTTTCTCTCCCCACACCCATCTCGATTCTGCCCGCCCACTCCTATGAGTGCCCTCCCCCCTAAGACTTCCCAGGACCCAGGAGCTGGGGGATCAGGGAACAGGGAAATGGGGCGAAGTGGGGCTTTCACTCTTCTGAGGCCGCTAATGGGTGTGAATGTGTAAGCAGTGAGAACGGGGGAGGAGGGGACAGGGTGAGGGGTACCGATTATATTAAATCCAGCAGCAACATGCATCGTGTCCACAGAAAAATGCTGGGCTACCACAACCGCCTACCCTAGATTAAAAAACCTTTCCTTTCATAAAAATAGATGAGAGTCTCTCGCTTTATAAATAGATTACATTTAGCTTAAGTTACACCTTATATTATCTTCTACCTAACACCCTCTCCCCCATCCCAAGCCGAAGTGGTTTGATTCTCCCTAGGTCATCTGAGCTGCACCCACAGAGCTAAGTCTGAGATGGAGTGGCCCTTCAGAGAGCTCCAGACATATTGCTGCAAGAAAACAAAAGCATTTTTACTTGCCAATAATTTTTTTCCCTGTTCGGAGTTACAGAGGAGTGTGTGTGTGTGTGTGTGTGTGTGTGTGTGTGTGTGTGTGTGTGTGTTCCACAACCAGGGAACCAAAAGGAAACTACTCTCCCTGCCCCTCCCCAGGCCTCTCTTTTTATAAACCCCCAAAAACAGGAGAGTGAGAGAGGGCAGCAAAGGAGAGCCCATCCGAGAACAATCTAAAATACCAATGTCAATATGACACTGGGTTTTGAAATAGAAAATCAAAATTAAGTATTTACAGCTTTACAAAGGACGGACCAGCGTGTCCTATTTGGACCTGGTGCTGCCATAGCGAGCATTGGGGTCTTTCTTGGCAAGCTGTGGGCTCGTGGCGCAGGGACGAGCAGGGCCCACTGGCAACTAGCTCAAAAAAGAACTTGATGGGGAGGGAGGCAGCCAGGCCAAGACCCAGGATCCTGCCCTGGAGGCAGACTGGCCACACTCTTGCTGTCCCCTGTCCCCCCAGCCACC